CCCATGTCTTGAACCCACCAGTGGAAGAGAAAGAGGAAGCCGTCTGCCCCAGTAACGGCGCACCCAGGGGTAGTTCTGCTCTGTCCTATGGGGCACGGGGGTCAGTGTGGCCTTGATGGCAGTGGTGTGGGAAGTAAAAGCTCATTTCTATACTACTCACTGATTTGACTTTAAAACAATTCTAAAAATATGATGTGAGCCTGACTTCAGCGAGAGACACACAAGCTGTTCTACAGAAATATTTGGGGGAGCAGAAAGTATACTTTGCAATAAACCAAAGGCCACGGCACGTACTCCGACCGTATCAAGGACACACGAATGAAAATGTGGCCCCCGTTTGTGTAGTTCACCTGCCTGCCTTCCCTCTCGTGGACACAAGTCATGACTGGACCCCAGGCTCACTGAGTTGATGAACATCTCTCGCTTCACAAGGGACAGTGAACAATTTTGATGGACTTCCCTATCAAACAATTAACATCATACTTATTCCTGTTATCTCTATAAAAGGGATAAAGGAGCCCTGGTACCATAGTGGTTTCATGTTGGGCTGCTAACAGCAGGGTCAGCAGTTCAAAACCACCAGCTGCTCCTTGGGAGAAAAATGAGTCTTTGTATTCCTGTGAAAGGTTATAAGCTCAGGAAGCCCAGGGGGGCTTCTATCCTGCCCTCTAGGGTCACTGTGAGTCAGAATCAATGTGATAACAGGGAGTTTTTTCTGTAATGGAGATTTTTATAAAAATAAACGGGTACAAACATTCTCTCATGTCTCTCTGCTACCTAAAACGAAAACCTGAAAATAAAAACAATAGCCACGGGATTAAAGAGAATCGGGGAAATGCTTTCTGTGTTTTTCAAGTTCTCTAGTTTATTACCAACTGAAAGTCTCTTTCAAACTGGCACCGAGGTGGCGTTTCTTCTTGAGCTGATTAGGACCACATGAGCTCAGGAAAAGGTGCCAGACCCTGCCTCTGGCGCAGCTGGAAGGATCCCACTGATTTGCCTTATTATCTTTTCCCCAAGAAACATGCTTCATCCCAAAGTCAAAAATGGATATTCTGGAGCCCCAAGCACAAATTACTCTTCGTTCATGTGAACAGAACGAAAACTCCACTGTGCCCTCTTCAACGGGACCTCCTGGAAAACAGAAGCCACTTGGGCGAGCTTCTGTGGCCCTTTCCCACAGGAATGGCAGCCAACCCAGCGCCTTCTCGTTGCTTACCTCGCTCTCCACTGACGGCAGGGTCTCATGCCAAAGCACGCGTCCCAGGCACGTGGCCGTAATCTAAGGCCACGCTAGGATGTTACCTTCTAAGGGTTCTGCCTCTCAGACTGGCCTGGGTAAAACCAGCAGTGGGTTCAAACGCATGCCTTCAGCGGCCCATGGTGGGTGCCCCATCCTGCTTCCACGGTGTTAACCACGGGAAGTTGAAGGCTCTCGGCTAGCTCCTGAGTGCCCAAGGCCTTCCCTGTCACATCAAAACCCACCTGCCACCCTGCCTCTTTCAGATGGGTCTCCTCCCCTGGCTAGATGGCCCCCATGCCACATGGTAAAGACTGTTCATGTATTGATCAATCAGTCACAAAGCAGCACTAATATTTCCCTTCTTACTGATCCCTGGTAGTGTAGTGGTTGCTCATTGGACTGCTAGCCCCAAGGCCAGTAGTTCAAAGCCACCAGCTGCTCCGCAGGAGAAAAACAGAGTTCTCTACTCCTGAAAACCGTTATAGTCTCTGAAATTCACAGGGCAGGTCTACCCTGCCCAATAAGGCTGCTTTAAGTCAGAACTGACTAGATGGCCCACAGTATCCTTCTTAAGAAAAACAGATACATTTAAATCATGCTGCCTTAAGTCAAAAAGATGCCACCACTTTTTGTTGGGTTTTTTTTTTTTAGCAAGTAAGCTTTTTGCCCCTTTAATGATACACAGCTGGAAATCACCAGGAGGCCTGTCTATTCAATTTTGAACTTGGATTTAGTTTATTTTTAAGAGAAAGTGTGGTATTAGGAACAAGGGAGGAGATTCCACAAACTCAAATTTGATTTAAGAAGTCCCCTCTCACTTTGTATTCTGGGTTTTTGGAATTTTGTTGGGTTGGTTTTTTGTGGGCTTTTTTTGGGTCAAACCTCTGCCCGGATACCCCGCAAGGTTGACCTCACCTGGCCTTGCATCGTACGGTTTTCTTCACGAGATTCTAAAGGGGGCTCGTTGTTATTCCCAACAATTGAATGATCCCTCTCCTCTCTTACCAGCTCTCTCATGGGCTGACATTTGGTTTTTCCAACGTTGAAAACATTCTCAGGTAACTCTGGGGGCCATGGTGGGGCCCAGGGTGCCCTCCCAGGGACACGCCTACCGATGGACTGAGAGCAGGCAATGACATTTCCGTGATGTCTGTGTCCAACCACAGAGGGTGTAGGGGAGATGGTGGGAGAGGGAGATCACAGGAGGGCAGGGGAAAGCTGTGGGAGGGGCCAAAGGTGCTTATTTCATGGTCAGTGAGGGGAGGAGGGGAAGTGGCCACCAGGGGCGGTGTGGGCAGAGCAGTCAGTCCCCATCCAGGGAGGAGTGAGACGGGGCAAAGTCTCCGCTAGGACGGCCAAT